CTCTTTCCCCTAATTTCCTATCTTCGGAGAAATTATTTTTAGTGTCTGGACAATAATATGGTTCGCCATGTTATGGTCGGTATGGCTTTCACGGAATCAAAGGTTATTAAAAAAAGAGGTATTGTCCCCTGGTGAGGAACTTGATCTGATTAAGATTAGGGCTGTTTCATGGATAAAAGGCAGGACAGGATTGTCACATTTGACGGGATATGCCATAAAAATCCAAGGGAGGCGCTGAATAAATTGCTTTGAATCCAAGTTGTTTGATTAACGACTCTGTTCTAGAAACTGTTTAAAATTATAGAGAATATGGGCTTGAATGCACCAGACGTGGAATTGATGCTTAAGTTTACTACTATATTGGATAGACGTATCTTTTATCCTTTAATTAATAAAATTTCTTGCTGATTAAAAAAACAAAAAGAGCGTTTCCAAAACGGAAATGGACGTACTAACCAATGATTCCTTGTGTCATTCCTCGATGTAATTTAGTAACTATAGTTGTAAAAATTGTGATTTCAATCATAAAATCATATAATTTTATAATTTTAAGTATTTAAATTAAATTAAATCTAAAATAAAATTAGAATTTCATACGTCCCAAGTTTAAAATCGTAAAATCATAATAAACTCGTAAAATTAGATAAAATTAAGATTTTACAAATTTAAAAATTTTATAAATTTTTGTGTCATAATGTTACTAATAATTAGTGGCAGTGCATTGGTTAAGTAGTGCTTGTTGCCTATTTACGGGTTGTCTTGTAGTGCTTCAAATTTAAGCCATGTAATTTGGCTTTTTGGGTTGGCCAAAATCCCTATTTGCACCCTCAATTTATTTTTTTTTCGCGATCAACACCTTTCAAAATTTTTCTTCCCTATTCGCACCCTCCACTTTTCAAAACCCGTGAAAAACTCAATATTTTAATGGACCGTCACGGCACCATTAAAAAATATATTACGTGGCACCCAAAAATTGACGTGACACTATGTAGCGTTAGTAATCCAACGTGGATCTTTTTTTTTTTTATGACGTGGTTTATTTTTTACAGACGTAGACGCCACGTATACAATAAAAATAATAATAAATTATAATATTATCAAACAAATACATAAATTGCATTTTTTCATTTTTTTCTTTCCTCCCTCATCCTCGCATCATCTTCACCATCCTCTTCTCAGTGGGTTCCTCGCGGGGAACCCAGTTCGGGTTCCTGCGCGGAACCTAGTTCTGGGCTCCTGCGCGAGGAACCCAGATCTGGGTTCCCGCGCCAGGAACCCAATTCTGGGCTCTTGCGCGAGGAACCCAGAAACTGGGTTGCTGGGTTCTTGCGCGGGAACCCAAAAACGGGTTCCTGCGCCAGCAACCCAGTTTCTGGGTTCTTCTCACAAGAGCCCAGAAACTAGGTTCCAACCATTTTTCTTTTTGATTTTTTTTTTATTTTGAATGTATTTATCTTAACTTCTGATTTTATGCAAAGCAATTTGGAAAGAATTTTTTGTTGGAAAGATGAGTTTTTTTGCTTGGAGATTGTTTCTGAATAGGTTGCCAATTTGAGTTTTTTTCGTTTTTTGTGGGAAAGGAGTAGAAGATGCTTATCATGTTTTTGTGCAGTATTTATTTACTTATAATTGTGTGGATGAAAATCTTAGCTTGGTAGGCATTCATGTGAAATTAGGTTCCACGAAAAACTTAGAACCTGGGTTTTGCGAGGAACCTAGGGGGATGAGGACGAGGATGAGGATGGTGAAGATGATGCCGGGAAAGAAGAAAATGAAGAAATTAAAATTAATGATGATTTAATTATAACACATTAGAAAAAAAAGTCCAACATTGGATTAATAAATGTGACATAAAGTTCTGGGTTCCTGGTTCCATGAGGAACCCAAGAGGATGAAGAGGAAGATGGTAAAGATGATGCGGGGAAGAAAAAAATGAAAAAATTAAAATTAATTATGGTTTAATTATGCCATATCATAAAAAAAAAAGTTCACATTAGATTATGTTACTGTTTGATGCCACATATTACAATTTCTAACGGTTATTAACGGTGCCGTGACGGCCCGTTAAAATATTAGGTTTTTCATGGGTTTTGAAAAATGGAGGGTGCGAATAGGGAGGAAAAATTCTGAAAGGTGTTGACCGCGGAAAAAAAATAAATGAAGGGTGCAAATAGGGGCTTTGGCCTTTTGGGTTTAACTATAAAAATTTGAAACAGTTTAATAACTATGAAATAGAATGCTCAACAAAGACTTAAAATAATTAATTTGTAATTAGACTTTTTAGATAAATTTTAAATTTAAACATTTGATATTAAATTTTAGTAATATATAAATTTTAAATTAATTAAGTAAACTCTCAATTTTATTAATTTAATTTTATAATTTTAATTTTACCTATCTAAAATAATTTTACTTAAACTCTCAATTTTAACGACCTTCACAATAACTGTTTAGAGTTAGACTCAAAAACTACATTGCAGACTTGCAGTAGCTTTTGTCGATTGCTAACTTCACAACTGTCATCAAGGGAACAGCTTCCATCGTAGTTTCAGAGCTTGCAAATTCATTACCATGGCTTAGATTGGGTTGAGCACTTGAGCTAATGTGGCCTTGTATATAACTATATATCTTTTCAATAAAATTCGTTTTGGTTTTTTACTTCACCTTTTTATTGGTTTGAGCTTTTCAAGTATTAGGCTGTAATTGGATAATTTTACACATTATGGACCGTGGAGTATGGACTTGGATAGGCTTGGGCACAGTTCGGTTTTAGTTTAACCAAAATCAAATTTTGAACTATTTGTTTTTTTTTTTTAGTAACCAAAATTAAACCAAATTCTTTATGGATTTTTTGGTTCGATAACTAAAATAATCAAAATAATCAGTTTTAATATTTCAGTTATTAATTATAACCAAATCCACATTGAATGCCTATTTCAAGTTTAATAATGATTATACTTAATTAAAATCTGAAATTTTTAAGGAATATAAATATAACAAAATGCAAAAAAGATGAATAAATGAGACTAAAATATAAATTTTGAGTTTTATTTTTTTACTTTAAAATATATTTTAAATTTAAATACTAAATTATAATAAAATTTATAAGATAAAATTTGAAAATGAAATTAAATAAGATGGTTTTTATATTTAGTTATAATATTTAAAAAAACCGTTATTTATTTATTATTATAAAATTTTATTTTTTGGTTATATATTTGGTTTT